TAATATTAATAATAAATAATTTTTTTTTTTTTTTTTATTAAAATATATATCTTAAATATATTAATTCATAACTTTTTATATATATATTTATATATATATATATATATATATATATATATATATATATATATATTTAATATTTTAATTCATTAATTTAAAATTTTCGCATAGCCTCCTGATTGCTTCCAATTTTTATTTATATATATGGTAATCTAATTTATATGTTACATTTATATAATTATTTATTTTATATATTTATCAATTTAATAGTTATTTAAATATAAATTATTATATACAAATACATTTTATTTTACAAAAAGACTTTGATTTTTCTTTTCAATGTAAATAGTTTCTTTCATTGTATTTAATTTTTATATATAAATATGACACAATATTTTTATTTTTAGTTATTTTTCCTATTATTATGTTTTATTAACTTATATATTTACAAACATAAATATTTAAATATTATTTTCAATAAAATTATAAAGAATTTAATGTACTTAAAATTTATAAAAAATAAAAAACTAAAAACAATAATTCTTTTAAATACTGAAAATACCGAAAAGTTTGTTATAATAATTTAATATAATAAATAATGAAAAAATAAATATTTATGAAAAATTTTTATAATAAAATAAAAATTGTAAATATATTTTTAAATTTAAAATTAAATTATATAATTTGTTAATTAATAATAATTTAAAAAATAAAATAAAGACTTTTTATAATATAAGATAAAAAATTAAATATATATTTTTGATTTCATTAACATTTTAAAGCTAATAAAGCAAAAATAATACTAAGATGATTAAATCAATTTATTTAATATTCGATATTTATTTTATAAATAATAATAATGTTTAATATGTACTTTTATATTTTCTATAAATAATTAACATTTTTTTTTTATAATATAATAAATATTTTTATTTTATTTTAAATAAATGTAAATAAATATATATATAATTAAAAAAAAATATGAATAAAACACAAATAAATATTAATAAAAATATAATAATCATTAAAAAAAAAAAATTAAGAAATAATAAAAATTTGTAGTATCTATTTGTTTTAAAAAAAATATAATTACGTATATATATAATAAAAAAAATAATATGAATAATTTAAATTAATATATTTTTTATTTGAATTAAAAAACAATATAAAAAAAATAAAGAAATATATTATATTTAGATAATAAAAATAAATGATAAACAATAAAAAAAATAAAAAAAATAAGAGATAAATAATAAAAAAATAAAAAAATAATAAATATAAATAATTATAAAAAAGTAAATATATATATATATATTTATAGTTTTATATATAATATTTTTTTTTTTAAATATTTAACATTTTTTTTTTTAATATATACAAATTATTTTTATTTATTCACAATATATATATATCTACTTATTTTTATTTAATTTAATCTAGTATTTTTTAAAAAAAATATTTTTTGATATATAATTTATTATTTTTTTATATTTTTTATTTATTATTAAAACTTAATATATCTCAAATTTTTAAATTTTATATTTATTTTTTCTATAATTTTTTAATAAATTAAATTAATTTTTAATAATTTAAATTTCTATTATTTAATTGAAATGATTTTTAAAAAAATAATAATTATTTTAAAAGTTTATTATATAAAAAATAAAAATATTTATTATCAATATGTTATATAATGTTTTGAAAATTTATATATTATATTTTTTTCTGGCTTTTTTTTAAGGTTCTTAGCCCCACTGTAGAGCCAGGCTATAAATAATATAAACTAATACTTTTTTTAAATCATATAAATATCTTTATATATGTATTTTTTAAAAAATTAGTATAGTATTAATTTTTTTTAATTATTTATTACAATAATAAAAAATTCAAAAAAATGAAAAAATTATTAAATAAATTATAATATTATTTAATTAATTATATTCTTTTTTTTAAAAAATAAAATAAAATTAAAAATTAGAACTTTAATTCTTAACAAAAAAAACATTGTTATATAGATATTAAAAAATCATCCTTTTAATATAGGCTTTGTTTAAATGCAATCATTTCCAAAGTATCCTTTATTACAAACACACTTATTATTTAGACAATATCCGTTTTAACTACAGAAATAAGGACACATTTTTTTAAATTTGCAAAACTACGGTATATTTATAGGGCATATAATAATTCCATCATATCCTTTAACTTAAAATATAAATATAAATATAAATATAAATATAAATATAAATATAAATATAAATATAAATATAAATTTATATATTTATATATATATATATATATATATTTATAATTATTTAACTTATTTTTTTTATCTATTATTTTTATCATACTTGTTTTTTTTTTTTTATATTATATATATATCTTAAATTTAATTTTTATGTTATTTATATTATTATTGTTCATACATTTTATTATATTCATTTTAATTTTTATTACTTTTAGAGAACTTAGAACCTAAAATATAAATTTTTAATAATAAGTTTATTATTATTTTTTTTATGTGTTTTATAATGCAATATTTTTAGTTTTTTTTTTTCAATATTCATATAACAAGTATTTTAAAGAAAATAGAAAAATAAAAATTAATTTAAATTATATAATTATTTTATTTACTTCTATAAAATATAAAAAAAATATATATATTTTATTTATTAGTTATAAATATTATTAAATAAAACATCTTATAATTATAATATTACATATATAAATGTATTTTTTTATTTTAGAATTTTTTTATTTTTTTATTTTGATTATTTTATTTTTTTATAATTTTTCAATTTATTGATTTTGCTAATTAATTTTTATTGATTTTTTTTTTTTAAAATATTTTGAAATTTGACGTTTATACTTTTATTTATTCAGAATTTTTAATTATCTAAATTTTCGGTATATTATATATTTTTATATTATATTATAAAATTTTAAATAATTTGTATTTCTCTTATAATTTTTTTATTAACAAAAATAATGTATTTTTTTTTTAAAAAAAAAAAACTATTTAAAATTAATAATTTAAAATTTAAAAATGTTTATTATAAATTTGATTTATTAAAAAAATATATATATATATCTAAATATATATATTCAAATATAATATTATGGTATATATAATATCATAATTAATTAAATTAATATTTAAAAAAAAAAAATCTAAATATAAAATAAAAAAAATTACATTAAATATTTTATATAATTTAATAATATATAATTAATATAATTACAAAAAAAATATTTATAAATAATTAATAAAATTATTTAACTTTTAACATAAAATTTTATAAATAGATACTAATTCATACAAGTTTTTTTTTTCATAGATTAATAATTATTAATATTTAAAAAAATATATTCGAAAAATTAAAATATATTTATATTTTCAAGTGTTATAATATAATTTTAAATATCTAATATTTTTTAAAAAATTATCATAAATATATTAAAAATGGATATATGAATAATATAGTATATGTAATAATAATATTTTAATTAAATAAAAAATTTAAATAAACTTTATCCTTCTATTATAATTTTTTTTAAAAAAAATGTTTTTTAATTAAATGAAATAATAGAAAATAATTTAATAAAATAAATAAAAAGACTCATTGTAATACTATATTTAATAGCCTGTATTATCAGCTTAAGAGTCCTCAAACATAAATGTGTTCATGATAAAATGAAAATAATTTAAAAATAAAATAAATTCCACCTGATATGGAATCTTTAGATAACTTTAATTTACAAAATAAATCATCCCGTAATATGCTGCTAATAACCTACGACATGTCTTATTTCTAAAAATTACCTTCTAATGCTAAAAATAAAATATATATTTCTGCCTTAGAGAAAGCTATATAACTAGTAGCAGACTATTTTTCTTGTTTAATTAAAATAATACAAATGAGGTGAAATAATTGTCGCATAAAATGACAAAATTAAGGGAAATAACTCTTATTTACATATATATGAAGATACAAATATAAATGATCCTATATAATTTAAAGATTTAATGGAAATAGTTATTCATGAAATGACTCATGTTTTGGGTTTTAGCAATAGTGATATACCTAAATAGCTAACTTCTAATGAATCTACTCATATTGATAATACTATTACATAAAAAATTAGGGGAGTTGATAATTTACTAATTAAAACTCCTAATGTTTTGAAGTTTGCTAGAGAATATTTCGGATGTTTTACTTTAGTTGGTATGCCTCTTTAAAATTCAATAGGTAATGATTCTGATGATTCGCATTGGAAAAACACAGACATATAGAACGAATACATGAATTTATTAATGACACCTAATTAGGCTTATTTTAGTGGTTTTACAGCTAATCTTTTAAGAGATACAGGTTTCTATACTCAAATAAACAAAAATATGGAAGAATAAATGTTTTATGGAAAAGGAGCAAGCTGTGAACATGTCATGGGTAAATGTGATTCTACTAAAAGAGAATTTTGTAATCCTAAAACTGATGATGGATTATGTGATTATTACCACCATGGATAATTTTCTTGTAGTGTTCGTAAATTAAATGATCCTGGCTGTAATACTTTATATACTTACGTAAATTGAAAATGCTGGGATGTTAATAGTTTATTTAATACATAAAATATTTAATAAGTATAAGGTGTTAAATATGGGATTAATTCAAGATGTTTTAAAGGGAATTTAATGCTTTCAAGCTAAAAAAAAACCTTATAAATTTTAGGTAATTGCTATTAATAATAGTGTGAACCTAATAAATTATAAGTGAATATTTGGGTAGGATAACTTAAGCAAACTTGTAGGTAAAATTTAGAGAAATTGACATTTATGGATATACTGGATATCTATTATGTCCAGCAAATTTATCTGATTTTTTGTGGGTTTAAAAAAATATGTCCGGGTATCTGTAATGCAAATAGATATTGTTTAAATAATAAGTGTTATTGTGCTAAAGGATTCACTGGAATGATTGCAATATTAAAATAGTTTCTTGAAATTTTTTATTATTTTTCTATTATTTTATAAAATTAGAAAGAGCATTTTAAATATTTACATTAATTAAAATTTTTATGTTACAATATTTTTACAAAAGATATATAATTTTCTTTTTAAATAACACACATATATAATAAATATATTTAAAAATTAAAAAAAAAAATAATAATAAAATTTTTTCGAAAATTCATTGTAATAATAAAAAATAATTAATAAAATATTCTATAATTAAATTTAATTAAATATAATCTTTTATTTTAAATAAATATAAATAAAATTAAAATATATATTTTAATATATATTATTAACATTTTAATAAAAGTTATTAATTTAATAATATAAAATTTATATATATATATTATTTTTAAATTATATTATCTTTATTTAAAATGCAATTTAATAAATAATTTATATAAAAATAAAATTAAATTTATATTTGCGAATATAAAAATATTAAAAGATATTTTTTTTTAATAATTTTTAAAACATAATTTTATTTTTACAATAAAATAAAAAGATTTTTCAGCTTGAGTAATTTAAATCATAAATTAAATTTGATATTATACTTTTTAGGAAATAATAATTTATTAATAATAATATTATAATATATAATTATTTATTTTTAAAAATAATTTTTGAATAATGGTATTTAATATATAAAATTTATCAAAAGAATGATTACTAAACCAGAAATAAAATTTTATTCGGGCGGGAATTGTTATATAGAGTAATAAAGTCAAAAATTAAGGTAATAAATAAAATTTAAAATAAAAAATGTTGAATGTATTTCTAAAAATAAAAAATATATAAAATTTAAAAATAGTGTATTTCTTTTTATTAAAGCAAATACATATTATTAAAAAATTTGACACCCTATAAAATTTTAATAATTACAAAAAAGAATATTAATTCATATTTATTAATGAATTATTATAATAAATTTATTTTATTACAAATAAACTTTATTAAATAAGATTTTAGATTTTAGATTTTTTATTTTTATTTTTAAAAATAATAAATATATTAAAGTGAAAAATATAAAAAATATAATTAAATATTTATGTTTTTATAAATAATTAGCTGTAAAAATCATTTGAAAAAATTAATTTTATTGTAAAATTTAAAAATAATTAGTAAATAAAGAAAAAGTTTTAATAAAATTAAAAATTAGGATTATAAAATAAAATAAAATACAAAAATTTAAAATTATATTTATATTTTTTTATATTTATTCATATATATATATTTATATATGTTTATATTTAATATATTTTGATAACATTTTTATTTTTTTAATTAAAATGAAATATTAATTTTTTTTAAAAAATAAATATATAAATATATTTATTTTATTAAAATTAATATAAAATTTTATTAAATTAAATAAAATAAATATATATATTATTATTTTAAATATAAAAATATTTTATTTAATTAATATATCATTTATATATTTTTAATTTAAAAAATTGTAAATTATTTTCATTTATAAATAATTAAATATCTTTTTTGACTTCTAATAAAAATTATGTTAATATTAAAAAATATTATATACTTAAATTAAAAATAAATAAAAAATTCTAATTAGTAAATAATAATAAGTAAAGATTTTTTATTTTCTCAAATAATAGATAAATATTAATATATCTCAAGAGGCTGCTTTAATAGAGCAATCTATTCGACTGAATCCTTTAGCACAATAACATTTATTATTTAAACAATATCCATTTGCATTACATATACCCGGGCATAATTTTTTAAACACACAAAAATCAGATGAATTTTCTGGACATAATAGATATACAGTATATCCATAAAATATCAATTTATCTAAATTACCTACAAGTTTGCTTAATTTATCCTATCCAAATATTCACTTATTTTTTATTAGAATAAAATTCATATTTATAGCAATTGCCTATAATAATTGTTATTTTTGGTAATTGTTAAGCCGATATATTCCCTTTGAAACATCTTAAATCAATCCCATATTTAACTCCTTACTATACTTATGCTTTTTAGGTGTTCTAATTACTATTAACATCCCAGCATTTTGAATTAAAGTAAGTATATAAAATATTACAGAAAGGATCATTTAATTTACAAACACTACAAGATGATTATCCGTGGTGGTAATAATCACATAATCCATCGCCAGTTTTAGTACTGCAAAATTCTTTTTAGTAGAATCACATTTACCCATCAAGTGTTAACAGCCTGCTCCTTTTTATAGAACATTTATTCTTCCATATTGGCGTTCATTTAAGCATAGAAACATTAATATCTTAAAAGATATATATTTATAATTTTATAAAAATTTATATATGTATAAATATTTTATAATTTATTTTATATTATAAAATATTATAATATAAATTTTTTATTTTTTTTTTATAAAAACTAAAAAAAAATTAGTAATTAATAATTATAAAAAATATATTTTTTTAAGAAAAATTAAATAATATATTATACTTTGAAATATTTAAAAAACCAGAATAAAAGTTAATATGTAAACATTTTAAAGAAATACTTTTTTAATACTATAGATTCGATTTTTAATCATTTTTTACTTGGATAATCTTCTAATGGTTAGATAAATAAATTTTAAATTACAGATAAATTTAAAAAGAATAAAAATATCATATTTAAATTATTTCTAAATAAATAATAAACAAATTATATGATTTTAATTAATAAAATAACTATAATAATAAAAGATTTAAAATTTATTATTTTAAATCAAAAAAAAAATATATTAAATTAGTTTATTAAAACATTTTTGATCATATAAAATATAGTATTAAAATTTATATACATGCGAAAAATAAATAGGAAATAATAAACTTTATTTTAATTACAAGACGGATTTATTTATAATAAACTTAAAAAAAATAAGGTATAAATATAAAAATTATTAAATATATATATATATATATTTATTGATAATGTATATTAAATAAAAATTATTAAATTTTACATATTAAAAAATTTAATTTTTTTATTTTTTAAAAAATATTATAAGCAATAATTTAAATATTTTAAGATTTTGTATTTCTTAATAATAATAAAAAAATAATATAAAAACTTTAATAATTTTTTTTTCAAACAGGTTTATTACTATAGCAATCTGGTCCATAGAATCCTTTAATACAAATGCATTTATTGTTTATGCAAACTCCGTTTGCACTACAGAAATTGGGACAGAATCTTTTATATCCACAAAACTTGATTATATTATCCGGACATACAATATATCCACTATATCCTTTAACTGACAACTGTTATAAATTTTTCTAACAAAGGACTTTCTATCCTGCTACTAAAACAACCACTTATTATCCATTAGAGTACATTAAATTAATAGCATTACCCTTAGTATAGTTTCTGGT